CCCCCCCCCCCCCCCCCCTCTATGTCGTTCCGCGTCATCTTTTCCATCGTGCACCCCACCACTCCCCCCACCCCCTACGCATCATATTTTCCATCATCGTTGTTGTTGTCATCATCGGGGGGGCCCAAACCCAACCAATCTAGCTTCTTCGCATCCTCCGGCCCCGTTATGCTCGCGTCGTGCCTGAAACCAATGCCGCAAGGTGCCCATCCAGGGATGTAGTTGGGGTACGCTCCAAACGTAGCTTTCGTCTTCCCGAGTCTGTGCGTGACGACTTTTGCGGCACGGACGATGGATCGTCGATGATCGAAGGACCGATGCATGGACATGACGAGTGTGGGCTTCGCCACCAGGTCCGCGAAGTAGAAAGCTTCATAGTGGTTGCGCGGATCGTTTCCTGCCATGCGCATTATCCGCATGCACGCCGCCAACAAAAGCCTGAAGCAGTCAGTCACCCGATAGAGACGGTCGTACGAGATGAAGTCGTCGTCGATGTGCGCACCCATTTGCACCGCCGCGCGGAATGCATGGGAGACGCAGATGATAGTAGACTCTTGGTACGCCGCCATGTCGTCGTCCTCAGGTCTATCCTCGATGTTGGTGTCGGCGAACCATAGTGGCAAGTCCATGGACAGATCTATCGTGTGCGCACATACCGTCGCACTGACGACGTTGCACCACTCCTCGCCGCACCACATTGCACGCGCAATGTCCGTCGCTACGGACTCGAGCGAGTACTGGAAAGCCACATTGTATCCCATTGGGCGGTTACTGGACTTGAAAATTCAACCGTGCAAGATGCGCAGAGCAATGTTCTCCAGTGCAGCCGCACGGGAGATCGCTTGCTGCAGCTGTGATCGGTCGGTGATAATGACTACCTTTGTGCTGGATTTGGGCAGGACGACGCTCCGAGGGACGACAGGCGCTGGAAGGCCGCTGGCGGTGGCGACAAAGTACTCTCTCGTTTTGTGGACAATGTTGTATAGTCTTCGCCCCTCCCCCATCGTCCAGAAAGCTTTGTCATCAACCCAAAGCACGACACGATCGACGAGGTCTTTCGTCATCACTCCCCTACGTACCCGGCTTGAACCGGGATCGTCGCCGTCCCAATCACTTTTGTTCTCGCCACACGCCTCTTCTCTCGTCGTCGCAATAACTGCCGCCTCCTCTCTCGCCGCCGCAACGGGGGCCACAGTGTCCAAAGCACCCGCACCCGCACCACCTCCCGCCTCGCCACCAACTGCGAGCTTTTGCCATGACTTCCCCCCCGCCGCCACGCTGGACAGACCCTCCGTCATCACCCGGATCGCGCTGACGTGGATGAGACGGCGTGGCAGGCAGTCCACCCGTGTTTCGCCTTTCGTCTACCGCAGCGCGCGCCGTCGCCGCCGGTGGTGGGGTGCCTTGTGTTAGAGTGTGTAGGCGACGTTTGTGCAAGGGCTCGTCATCGTCGCCACCCACATCGACGACGGCAGCCTTCTCTGTCCGGGTATCGCGGGCACGTGGTTGCTGCGTATCGGGTGGAGGGGTCATTAACCTCTTCCAAGCGCTCTGATCAGAAGAGCGCTGCCGTGCGCCCTCCCGTACTGCAGACGCGGTCGCCTCTGCGTGTTCTTCCTCCGTCGTCAAGTCGTCGTCGTAGTCGCCTTCCACTGTTGCTGCCCAACCTTGCGCTGAACGAGGAGGCAAGCTTGGTGACACATCATCCAAACGCGCCCTCTTCGCTTTCGGGACATGCTGCCGACCTCTTCCCTGCCCTTGGTTGTCGTCAGGGATGTCATCGCGCTTCTTACCACGGGCGCTCCCTCGCGTGGACATGTTTCGTGGGCACGTCTGCAGGCGAGCTTGGCGGTCCGATCGGATGATCGGGATGTGCTTTGTCGACCGTTGTATGAAGTTTCGCTGATCCGGCGAGAAAATTTTATTCCGTTCTGGTTTGGCGTGACGACGACGAATACCCCTACGACGCAGAAGATCTCTCCTCCGCGGGAAGAAGACGATGACGCATACTTGTGCGGCAGAAGGAAGACGACCGCGGCGAGAGCGCTCCGCGACAAAAAGATTGACGGCGAGAATACTCCGCGGCGGAATGATTGGCGGCAGACGTCCACGTGTGCGACAGAAGGACGACGACTCCAGCGGAGATCCTCCATGTCTGGCGAGATAGCAACAATGGCATCGGCGGTGGTCCTTCCGCGGCAGTGAAGATGTTCGCGGGGAGCAGGTGACATTTATCCGTGGCGCGGAGGCTTGTACTACACCCGTGTCGACCCGCTGGGTGTGCAGCAGGCGCGTCGATCTTCTGTGGTTCAGACACCCCACTGCGGACCACATGCATCTGGGTTGGGATGCGTGCATCTGTAGTTAACGTCCCACATAGACCGCCCACGACGTCGCTTCTACGTGGCGGGAAACGACATCGTCGACGGTGCAACGTCAGACCGTCCCTGCCTGTCCTAACGTGTCATTATCATCCTCCCCAAGGTGCGAAAAGACCCTGCAACGGTCTTGGCGACGCGCGTCATTGCACTCGCCAAGGACGGAAAGTAAGAGAACCCACCTTCGCCCCTGGCAACCCCATCGTGCCTACCCACGCAGCCACCGCCCCCCAACCCCCCCGCCTTCTCTTTCTTCTCCTGACCCGCTCGTCCACAATCCCCGAATGACACCCCCCCTTCCAGACGTGGCTTTGTGCTTCTAGAGCTATTAAAACGCAGACGATGCACGGTGGTCGTCGATAACGATGAGTAAAAAGAAGAATTTTTTTTTTTTTTTGACCCACACAACTATCTGGACGACACACACACACACACACACACACACACACACACACACACGCGCGCGCGCGCGCGCGCGCACACACAGCCAGTGCGGTCTACCACCGTGCTCCCCGACAGAAGAATCCGTTAACCCAAAAAGAAAAGAAAAATAAAATCACATAAATTTAAGGCAATTACGAACGCAATGACTGAACTTCAATCGACGCACGATCGAACAGCCTACATCGGCGACCGATCACGGATGGCGGCTGCAATCTCCATAAGCGTGTGGCACATCATCCTCTGCGTCTCCTCGGACGCCACATAGTGCGCTTTTTTGACTGCAACTTCCTCCTCGAGTGTGTCGCGTTGCCTTGTGAATATGCTGCATTGCCGCTTGCTCGACGAATCGATCGTCGCCGACATCAGTTCGCCATGGCGGTCCATGACATCAGCGATCGACTCCAACGCCTGTAGACGCACATTCTTCCGCTTCCCGCCTCCAGCCCCAGTGCCTGCGTTGTTGTCGGAGTCCCGCGCAGAAGAGCGTTCTTCAGGGCAGCCATCACCTCCGGCCTCGCTACCAACATACTCCCCACCAACCGCTCCTCGCCTGGGCAGCTGCACCCCGTCCGGACTGCCAGTGTCGGCGACGTTGGGAGGGAAAATAGTATGGTTCCCCAACATGCCTGCATGGATCTCGTTGTACACCACCCTATCCATCCGGAACTTGAAGTTGTGCCCCTTCCTTTCTTCATTCGATAGCCTAAAGAAATCTTCGTGGCCACTGGCATTCTCAAACCTCTGTATCTTCTTGTAGTTTTGGAAGAGATTGTCCCACTTCTTCATGCAGTCGTCGGCGTCTTTAGGCCTCCCCGCGATCGCCATACGTTTCGCAATGTTGTCCCACTTCCACTCCTTCGTGCGCATCCGCCCGTAATTGTGACCTAGCCCGGCAAGGTGCATCTCCTGCTCCCACTTGCATCTCACGAGGGCCATTTGTTCTTCTGGAGACCAGTACGTCGCAGACTTCCCGCCGTCGTCGTTGACGCCACCTCTACCGCCACGGCCGACGGATCGACCACGAACAGCACCTCTGCCGCGTCCTTTCCCCCTCCCACCCGTCTTCCCCAAAGGCCGAATAGGAATGTCGTCGTCATCGTCCACTGCTTCCACGTCCTCCCTGAATCCTTCATCTGCATCACCACCAACACCCCCATCATCGTCGCCGCCATCGCTGTGTGCATGCATGTTGGACACTCCTCATGTGATGTTCTCCACAGTGGGTCGTGGACGCACTGGTGGTATGGGGGCGCCGTCGTCCCTCAGGTCGGGTTCGGTCGGCGTTGTGCGGTTCGGCATCGAAGGACGTGCACCGCCGATGCGCAGGGACCCGCTTGCGACTCCAGTGCTTGCGGGCCAGCTACTTGTCAATTGATTGGAGGACGGTGCAGTCGATCCATGCTTTCGGCCTGCTGGCGATGGCCCGACACCGCCAGTAACGGACGCACCGCCACGAAGTGTGGACTGCTCCGTATGCTCGCTTCCAGCATGTTGAAGGCCACGTGGCGAGGGATCGGCGTCGATGATGAACGTATGACTCACCTCCCTGGCGCTGCTAGAACACAACCCGAACTTGAGATCAAGTCCCCCATTGTCGTCGTCGTCTCCCAAGCCTTGGCGCAGGAGTGAGGTGTACTCGCTGCCTTCGTTGCTAGTCGCCCCGCCTGCTCGTACCGTCTGCGACAAACGCTGCGTCGACCCACTGGCGAGAGGCAACGTTGGAAGTTCCTCCGCTTCCAGCTCCTCGTCCGACGGGGGCAGTGGCGTCTCCCACGACTCCAGATGCTGTCTCTTATACACATCTAGATGTGTATAAGAGACAGACGTATGACTCACCTCCCTGGCGCTGCTAGAACACAACCCGAACTTGAGATCAAGTCCCCCATTGTCGTCGTCGTCTCCCAAGCCTTGGCGCAGGAGTGAGGTGTACTCGCTGCCTTCGTTGCTAGTCGCCCCGCCTGCTCGTACCGTCTGCGACAAACGCTGCGTCGACCCACTGGCGAGAGGCAACGTTGGAAGTTCCTCCGCTTCCAGCTCCTCGTCCGACGGGGGCAGTGGCGTCTCCCACGACTCCAGATGGGCGTACATGGACGGGTCGTACTGCCTTGCCTGTACTGCCGTCGCAGGTCGTCTTCCGCTGTGACCTGCAGCCACATCCGCGCGTGCCTGCATGCCCGCCATCAGACGTTCCCCTACCTGCCGTTTCGATGACGCCCTCCACTTGTGACGTTGCTTCCACGGTCGGCACGACAAACACACGTGGAGGAAGACGACAAACAGGAAGACGACCACAGCGAGCACCAGCAGAGGCAATCTCCTATGCATGGCTGCCATCAATTGAATCGCAGGCATGCACACTTCCACGCGACTACTGCAAAAGTTTCTTCTAACATGGCGGTGTATAGGGCCGGTGGACCTTCATATGCCGACAACCACCAGAGAAGACGACAAAGGTGCCTGCCTGCGATTCAAAAATCGACCGTTGCCGCCCGCACACTACCCGAAGCGCTCCCGTTTGTCATCCCGCGCACATCGACGTCCACCTCCGCCACCTGCAAGCGAGCCAACGGTCCACTACAGACGCCCGCCTGCCACGCTCGGGACCCCCCGCTCCACCCCATCGGCCAACGGCTACAGTTGGTGGTCGTTGCCGGCGTCGACCCGCGGAAAACCTCTGATGTCCGACCACCCACCCGACGGACCGCTCCTGGACCAGCAACCCCGTGTCGACGGGGCCATGTGCGCGATGCAACGATTCCGTGAAACTCGGGAATCCTAAATTTTTCAGTAGGTCGGGGGCTACTGGAAAATTTAGGACGATTTTGCCTGGGGAATCCTCAATCCTTTAGGACTGGTCCTAATGCCGTTTTCACATTTTCGATCTTGAAAATGGATTTAGGATTGCGTGCAACGAAGACGAAATCCTAAAAACAGGCACTTTTAGGAGTGTCTAACGAGACCCTAAGGGTAGACTAAGTGCTTGTTGCGAGTTGGGTCTCTTTTTTTTTTTTTTTTTTTTTTTTTTTTTTTTTTTTTTTTTTTTTTGGGAAGAAAGGCCTGTGTGTGTGTGTCTTCTCCTCATCGGGGGACAGCCATATATTTTTCCCTCACCTCACATATCTTGCAGCTGGATCCTCCCAGTCTGTGTTAGTAAACTCTTCAGCCAACACGGGTAAACGGTTGTGAGGGCGTGTGTGAGTGGGTTGCGTGTGGTGTGTGGGAGAGTATTGGCTTTGGACACTACTGTTACTCGATGGGGGTGGGGGAAGATGAAAAGGGAGGAGGCACAGTTCCTTTTACTGCCAAATGCTCGGCCCTTGTGTTGTTAGCCCGGCCCCCACCGGTGGCCCCAACCCTGCACCCTAAACGCTAGGGCAAAAGGGGCAAACATGCCCTTTTCTTTTTTTTTTGGAAAACAGGCTCCATCTATTGGTGGGGAGCAGCACCTGCTGGAAACCGGGTCCAGCGTCCCATAGATACAACCATATCCTCACTAATTGGCACAAACTGGGAACCGGGCCCAGCGTCCCATAACGAGTACATTCAGAAAAAATCATCAGAAAATTCCATGAAAATAAGACAACGAACTAGAAAAATCTAAGTGGCCGAAGGATGGAATTTTGGAAATTGAGATACCGGGGCCATTACCTGGCTTTGGCTTACCCCTCTCCACCACAGAGAGAGGTAACCTCCCTTCACCCAAGAAAGGTAGAAAGCTATGCTTGCAGTGGTCCCCTGTATAGCCTTAGGGTCTCATCCCACACTACATACGGTATGTAGTAAACTCGATTTTTCTAGATCCCACAGTGCTCCGAAGTCGTAGTCGGCACGGTCAAGTTCGGAGGTAAGTGGAAACGTTTGTTCTGGTGGCGGTCTGGGAATGAACGGCGGCAAAAAAGTAGTAGGGAAATGGGAGGAGTGGCCGACCCGTACCCTGCCGCTAAAAAGCTGGAGCAGCTTTTTGTTGTTGTTTTTTTGTTTTTTTCCCTGTCACTCCCTCCTTTCCTCCGTTGATCCGCCACCCTCCCACATTATTGCGCCGCGATGCCTGTAAAAGGGCCATTCTTTTCGGAGTTGTGGGATGCAATTTTCCTTTCACGGTCAGTCCGGAGCGGGCCCAGCTTTTCCGTTACTTTTACGGATTCTTGTTCCCTAAGTAGAGTGGGATGAGACCCTTAGGAGTAGTGGTAGGTTCCATGACATGGTGTTTTTATTTTTCAACATTTGTCTTTTTTTTTTTTCTTTTTTTTTTTTGGAAAGCTTCGATATGTATTGCATAAAGAAAAATGGGACGAGGCGGGGACCTCACAAGTCAACCAGGGCCGTGGTCCCACTAGCAAAGGGGATAGGATAGAAATCCTGAATCTGGCTAGGTTTTATGCAGAGATACAGAAAAGAAGTTCGATCTTGATTTCCTGCTCCTGTCCTCAAACACATCCAGATTCAGGCATTCAATCGGATGCTCTTTGCTAATGGGACCACGGCCCAGGAGTTATCCTTCCTGGCAGCATCAGCCAGTTTTGCTTAGGAGCCAAGCTCGAAGGTCCAGCCATCTGCTCAAGATCTATCAACACTACTGCTGGGCCGAGGTCCCACTGGCAAAGAGGATCGGATAGAATGCCTGACTCTGGATGTGTTTTATGCAGAGATGCAGAAAAGCAGTTCAATCTCTATTTCCTGCACCTCTCCACAAACAAGTCCAGATTCAGGCATTCGATCCGATCCTCTTTGCTAGTGGGACCACGCCCCTGGAAACCGGGTCCAGCGTTCCATCGTAAATCCTAGGACTTTCCAAAAAATTAATGCTTGAAGCACGAATTATTTGTTGCTTTTTGCGTCCCCACAACTTTGCACTACTACGTCCCTCGACCTGAAACATCAACGGATTTTTTTTATTTTTATTTTTTAAATCACGGGCCCTGTTCCCAAGGCTTATATTTCCAATTGAGAAAACATCAACGGATTCATGAACGGAACAAAAAAAAAAATGAAAAAAAAAAAAGAGGAAATCAACTGAACAAAAAAAAGTGAGCTCCACCGGAGGAAAGCACTGATGGGTCCGTGTACTGACCCTCTCTGCAGTATGCCCCTACCGGATAGCGAAGTCCAAAAACTTTTGATCTTGAATTTGTGATAACAAGGTGCCGCATATACACTGAGCTTTGCCCTTCACTAACCATTTTGTGTTTTTCCAATTTCGTAATTTGCGCAATGCTTTATGAGGCCCAGTAGAAGAGGGCAACTCATAGATAGCATCCACAATCATTTCAATGACTTGGCTAATGATGTATCTTCTTCCAAACTCAGCGCTGACCTGAGTACCAGCACCTAAATTTTCCATATGCGCCTACGGGTAGGGTGCATGTTTTCAGCGCACCTCTATGGTTACGCCCATGGTGGCCAGTTCACTTCTCTATCTCTCTCTCTCTCTCTCTCTCTCTCTCTCTCTCTCTCTCTCTCT